TGTCATCTTGTCAAATAAATTTATTTCAAGAGACAGAGGAAGTATATCTCTATTGATTCTGCTTGACTTTTTAGCAGTTTTTAATAACATTGACCACAATATTCTCCTGGCTTGATTGTGGTGATTGGGCTACTATGTTACAGTGGCTCTAAGAGTCAAGTTTATTTTCCCCCAACATCTGAATCAAGTGAATATCCCCTTAATGTCAATGATAATATTAGAAGTCCAAGTGATCTCTTTGTAGGGATGTTTATTAGAAACTACTCTGGGTAGCCAGAGGGAGAGAAGGGGGCAAATGAGACACATTCTTGTGGCACTTGTATGGCTATGTCATTATATAAGAATCATTTAGAGCCATGGTGGTGTAGTGGTTAGAATGCAGGACTGCAGGGTACTTCTGCAGGCTAATTCTGGTGACTCTGTAAACTACTTAGAAAGATGTAAAGCACTGTGAAGCAGTAAATAAATCTCAGTGCTATTGCTATTGCTATTCAGTACAATTTGCTGTTGATCTCTTTATCAATTATACCCTTTTTAAAGACAGATATATTAGCCATGGTAGTTCATGGCATCCTTCTTCCCAAAGAATCAAACTTCCAAATTTTCATTTTAAGAAAGGGAGATAGACTTTAGCATAAAACAAATGTCAATTTTTGCCGCTTCTGTAATGCATTTTGATGGGTTTTAAGACAATTAATAAAGTGTTTCCAGCCAAGCACAAAAAATCCTGACAACAACAACAATAATAAAACATTTAGTTAAATATTTTCTGAAGAAGAGATATCTCAGGAGGATTTTTTTTTAAAACTCCTTGATGGTAAGTTAGAAATCCAGACTTTTGATGTGGCTTTCAGTTTCTAATACCTTAACAGTTTTTTATATGGACAATTTTTCTATGTTTCTTAATGTTTTAGAATGTTATCTTGCCAATATCTGTAAATAAAATCCATTGCTACTGCATAAAAGAAGACTGGGGCTAAGAATCTTTATATGCAGAAATTATGTGATCTAAGCTGATAAATCATGAAAAGTTATCAAATATGTGAAAAATGTGCTATACAAAACAATATCCAGTAGCATATATAAAAAATGCCAAATGTGTTATTGCACACAGTGTGGCCTCATTTTAGATTTCTGTATGTACAAATTCACTGGTTTCTGGTTTTGGCCATGTTTGTCAGCTCTGATGAGAGCAGATTCATTGCTGCCTTGAAAATCTGCTACATTTTAGAAATATAAACCTCCTCATAGAAACTTTAAAAGGAATATTCAAATTCATGTTTCAAGTGGACAAGCAACATTATCTCTGTATTTTTTCCCTATGTTGTGATATACCAGGAAATTACATTTCATTAACCAATTGATGGATTAAAAATGTAACTGAGAGAATCAGTTAAAATTATTTTCCCAGTGAATCAACAATCTCGGATTGGCCATGAGATTTAATCATCGGCACAACACAAATACTAACAGAAGTGAACATGGAAAGGACCTCTTTAATATAATTACTTATATTTCAAATATTATGTCATTAATTACCCAAATATTATTTAGGCTTAGGGATGTTAAAATGAGTAAGTCCAAACCACAACAAGAGTTCCAAATAATGCAACCCAACAATATTATATTAAACCACTATTTGAAGTGATATTCTGTTCAAATGATAAAAGTAAGAAGCAAACTGGCTCCAAATCACAAACTGTTTGTGGCCATCATCTTATACTGTGGACCAGTTGCTTTCATGGGATTTCTGCAAAAATATCCTGCTGGTTTTTATTTGTATAAAAAATGAAATCATAGGATGGCACATTCCCAGTCAAAGACCATTAACCTTTAACTGCTCAACATGTCTAGCAGTTGCCAAGGAATGCCATTTGAAGAAGTCTTGAATGGTTGCTTCAAGAGATGGATTTCATTGAAATAGAGATTCCTGCAGATTCTGCAAGACCAGTTAATGTTTAACATTCAATTCACACCTCATTAAACCCAACTGCAAAATATCCACTGATTTTAATAAGTACAACTATAAGTTCAAAACAAATAGATCCTTAAAAATATAAGGCTGTGAGTTTCCTTGGCAATAGTAAAATCCTACCAACTCAAATCTCAACACACTGTGGGAAAGAAATCATGAATTGATACAATGTCACATTTATATCACTGTTAATTCATTCATTGCTTGTAGATCGCTTTCTTGGACAATTTACAACAGCTAACATTTCAAATGTTTTGAAAAGCCAACTTCCACTGGTGGCTTAGTGACAGTTTACACATTGACCTGCTCATAGCAAGGAGGCTTTTTCTTCTTGATTTAGATTCCATGATTAGGAATCATTCATGGATGAAGCTTTAGTCTAGATTACCAGATTGATGAGACAAATGTAATAGTTTCACAATCTGTTACTGGCTGCTGGCAGCAATCACAATGGTATCTTAAGTACAAGTGAAATGCTTGCTTTACACAATAGGAATTTTCTAGCTTCTTATTAAATAAAGAACATAGATACTGTAAATTGTACAGACATACATTTTACTATTAAAGGAGAATATTTGTAGCTCAGGGAATTCCAACTCATCCCTCTACAGCAAGGTTTCCCAATTGTGATGTGTATCATTTCCTTGGGAAGTGCAGAGAGACTCCACAGGAGGTGTAAAAAGCCTTTTGTTGAACTGCACATTGTTACAGTAAATCCTTCTTCCACAAAGTTTCATTGTATTGTTTTCATTGTTCATTTGTGTTTATTTTTGGGGTTTTCAGGGAGGAATGTACATTACAGTTATAGTAAAAGGAGGTGTGATGGCAAAGGGTTTAGGAACCTCTGTTCTGTAATATATATACAATAAATGACGGTAAGATGTTTTTAAAATGAATATTGAATCAATATGGCAGAACAGATGAATGCATTACAATTTTGTATTCCTGAAATTATTGAAAGACTGTAAAGCTCTATTGTATCGTTATGTATGTATCTCTCTATATATCCCAAGCAAGAAATATCCTTCAAATCTGGAAATAAATCGCATTAAAAATTGTCTGGGAATTTTTTTTTTTTTTCCTAAAAGAGCTTTACTTAATTTTGACAGACTGCACTCTTCTTCTTTTTTTGAAGAGGAGCTTTTTTGCACATTTCCGGTAATTTTCTCTTTGGGTATTGTGCATGCATATATATAATTTTAAGGTCAATTCCAGACCCAATGACAAATTATTTTGTAATTATGATTTGCACTAATGGAAAATGGACACCTCCATATTGTATGGTATCAGATAATTATGAGCTACTAAAGAGTAGGTGTGAATATAATCAGTGCATTCTCCTTCCGTGTGTATCGTTAATCCAGCAGTTAGTTCCAAGGATCTTCTATCATACTATTCATTCTCCATTTTCTTCACCTTCAGAGGTGAAGTAAAACATGTCTCTCCGAAACAAAGAGAGAACTTGGTTCGAATCAGTTCTCGAATAGAGCAAACGGAAAGAATGAAAGGATCAGTGCTAAGACGACTCCGGGGCGATGGCGTTTCGGACTCCCAGATCTATAAGGGCAATCAGTCTGGAAGAACTGAATGAAAGGTTTGGGAAAGATAGGTCGTGTTTAGTTTACAGATTTTAATGTTTAAAAATAACATTCGGTTATGGGATACCTTTGGAGTCCTTTCCACTAATTCAGAATATGGCTGTGGAGATGAACTTTACCACCTACCCCCCCCCCCCACTAATTTAGCTGATTATTGGCATAGATGGAACCTAATATGCTGATATAAGAGACTGATGCCACGCATCAAGCGATGCTTTTCTCGAGGATTAGTTTTGCGGGACTGGAGACGATTCTCCCGCCAAAATCAAAACAAAGCAAAACCCTCCGTCGGTGTAATAATGCCTTTGCTCGTCGAATACTAGCGCCGCTCGTTTCAGCGGCCCAGCTCCCTCCAAACTGCCGCCCACCCACGAAAACGTCAAGCTCCGCCTCAGCTGGAGAGGTTTCAACGCGACTCTAACGTTCCCAGCGCCGTGGGCAGACAGGCGTGGAGAGCAGCCTGGATTTGCGCCTTTTTCCTTCCCCCCTCTTTCTCCTAAAGGTGGAATTGCGTAGCTGGGCTGGCTAGCGGGCTGCCAGCCAGCGAGTCTCGAGCACTCAGCATCCTCAGGCTGCGGGTTTCAGGGCTCTCGCTCTCTCTCTTTCTCTGTGGCGGACGCAAAATTCCTCGTCACAATTTCTTAGGTTCCTTCAGCCCCGCTGCCACAACCGTGGACCACTTCGGCAACCTAAGGCGACCATCCTTTCAATTCTCTCTCTCTACTCCGCTCTTTCTTTCTTTCTTTCGTTCTCTCTCTCTCCCCCTCACCCACACACCACACGCTTGGAAGCCAGCCGCGCGCGCGCTACCCAAGTGCGCCTTTGTAACACAAGGCGCTTTAAGCAAGGATCCTGGCCGTTGCGTCCCGTCGTTGCGCGTTTCGAAGGGGTGGCAGGCAAGAGCGTGTCGCCGAGGATCGTATGCGGTGACCGCCAGTGACCACCACCAACAACAAAAAAGAGCTCGTGGGGGGAGGGGGGAAGCAAGGCGCTGAGGAGTTCCTTGTTGTGTTTTCCACAAGGGACGGCAGTCCCTCCGAAAGCGGGGGGTGGGAGAGAGAGAGAGAGAGAGAGAGAGAGAGATGATGATGACAATTAAGTATAAAAAGCCTCCTCCCCGCTTCTGAGCCTAACTAGCAGTAGGAGAAGAAGAGGCGGAGGGTTTGATGATATTGGAAGCCCCGCCCAATGCCTGGGCAGGGGGAGGTCCTGCTTCTCTCTTCCCCCCCCCCTCCCACGCACGCCCGCTCTTTGGAAGGAACTGGACTGGCTTCTTTCTTTCTCTCCCTGCCTCCCTACTCCCCTCCTTCTCCCTCGCCGCCCCCTCCCCATGCACGCACAGAGACCCGTCTCTTGCGCTCGGTCCTGGAGACAGACAGGGAGACAGAAGATGGCTGACTCGCCAGGGCAACCCACGGTCCGGCCCGCCCGCATCCCCAACCCTCCCAGAGCCGCTTTCTCCTTTGACACCCGTTGACGCTTTCGCCCAGCTCTAAAAGCCGCCCCCGTCCTTCCTCCCTTCTTCTCCATAACCTTCCCCCCCCCCACCCCCGACAGCTTTTCCCAAATAATACCAGCAGCCATTTCATCTCCACCAAAGTAGATACATACATACACACGCGCGGGCGCGCGGACACACACACACACACACACACACACACACGCAAACCAAACAAAAAAAAATATAATTAAAAAATGGCAGAAATGGAGAAAGAAGGGAGACCTCCAGAAAATAAAAGAAGCAGGAAGCCGGCTCATCCCGTGAAAAGGGAAATCAATGAAGAGATGAAGGTACGTCTCTGCGCTCCCCCTTTATTGTCACCCCGTCGGATGCGAAAAGGGAAGAAAGGGGGAAGAGGGGTAGAGGCGGAGAGGAAGGAAGCTTGTTGCAGACAATCCCCCCCCATACTACGGTCTCCCCTCCCCCCATGGGAGAAAATGTTATAAATAAAAGACCTCTTGTTTTGTTGTAAGGGGCGGGGGTGGCTTAAAAAACCTCAGATGGGATTGGCGAAAGGTGCCTGAACTCCTCCTGCTAACTGCACAGTTCACAGGCGAGAAAGCCAGATTCCCTAAGCGGATCTGATACGTTGATGGCTATAACCACTATTATTTATAATATTTTCTCCAAAGGAGTTCAGTTCCCTTCTAAATGCCCATCCTAGCCAGATGATCTAGAAGCTGTTAAAAGTTAGAAGAGAAAGGGAAGTCATTTAAGCACCCTCTCCCTCTGGCCCCCTTTCCAGTAGCCAGCTGCAACTGTGTAATTAAATTGTCAAAGTGAAATGTTATGGTCTGAACGGCACATCATTCTTGGGCTTAGACACAGGATCTCTTGTCTTTTCCTTCTGCCTTTTAGTTCTGTATCTGTTTTGTGTGCTCCACTTCACAGTTAATCAAAGAAGCGGAGTGTGGAATTGAAAGCTGTCCTAGAAGGGTGCATGAATATGTATGTCTCTGTGGGTACATACATTCTTTATATCATCTATATCTGTTTGGAGTGATTGTGTATGGAGGAGGTAAAGCCAGCATCCTCGCAGGAAATAGTGTAAATACAGCTGTGTTCCAGAGGTAATTCTGTGGGCTGGCACTCTAGAGGCTAATATCTGAGAAGTTGCTTAATAAATAAATAAACAAACAATATTCACCTGGGTGAAAATGAAATCTCTGTCTGATAGCACTGTTATTATTCTTAGCATTATTTTTTTTTATGTTACTCACCTATCTTTCCTCTAAACCTCCCCTATGAGGCTGAAGTGAAGTTGCTTTGCTTCAAATAATAAAACAGTATAGTTTTGAGGTAGGATAAAATCCATTCCCTCAAGTTGCATTTAGTGAAATGGAGCATTCATAATCATTCTGTTATGGAAATATTAAATATACATTGTTGGTATATAATGATTACAAAAGCTGTGTGTGTGAAATTGAATATGCATCATCATGGAATCTTTGCCTATGTGGTCCAAGGCTAACAACCTAAAGGGATCAACAAGACCGTTTTACTTATTGAGCTTAGCAAATCAATTTGGAAGAGGATGCTCAGTTTCTTGTTTAATTTTTAAACTCAATTAAAAGTGTTCTCTGTTATTTGTATTGTTTCTTTCTGTGGCATATTGCAGGTTTGTCCAACAGCAGATGGACATTTGAACAAAAGGTTGTGATGGTACACGTAAGAACAAAGTGCCTTGCATATCTATAACATTTATCCAGTTTCTAGGCATACATCCTGATTCCTCTTTGTATGTAGACTTTCTATCTTAGGGGAAGCTTTGTGTACACTTGAATTTAACAGTAATTGCTCAGTCAGACCTTGTTTGGATTTTTATTTTGGTAAGGGTAGAGAGGAAGGGGGACAGTGGACATGGAACGCTGTCCCATTATGCACTGTCAGTTTAAGACAGTGCTTCATTCGATCTGCAGTTTTTAAGTTTCATAGGTTCTAGCATTACAAATTAGCTAATTTTAATCAAAACATATGAAATGCTATCCTGGCTGGATATATAAAGGCTGACTATGCTGGATCCTCTGGGTTTGTTTTGTTTACTTTGGCTGCAGGCACACTTGGTGGTTTGGGAGATAGTTGTTCTTCTGCAGTAGAACAGATGTTTGTCTGAAATGGTGAGGAAGAAACAAAAACAACACTGTGTGTGAAAGGAGGAAAATTACACAAGATTTTCTTCTTTTTATGAAAGTCTATTAGGCATTAGTGCGAATCTTAATGCAGGTAAACCTCTCTTTCCACTAAGCCTCTGATAATGGAAGAAAAGAAATAAGAGAAATAAATATATCAGAGATTCATTTATATGAGAAATTTAACCCAAGGCTGTGGATCTGATATATAGTTTTGGGATCAGCTTTTATAGATTGAACGGTTGAAATGTAAACAACAGCAGAAGCTTTCAGGCAGCCTTCGCCACATCCTAGAGTTAGTTATCTTATTAACTCTTATTCTGTGTTTTTATAACTAAAGTTCTGAGCAGGTTTGCATCTTGTTTTCTTTTAGGTACATTGGGCATTTGCTTGTCTTTCATTCAATATTTCTTCACTTACTGAAAGAAAGATATACCAGAAAGATTTCCTCCTCTTCACTAAATTAAAAAGTACAGTAACTTAACAAATTAGTCATATTGTATGAAATGTGTGTGATGTCTTCTGGTGAATACAATGTGTCCTTGTGTAGGTGCACATCTGAACTGTTCAAGCAGCTTGACTGCTTCCCTTCATCTGAACTGCTTTCATGTGGACTTATGTAAAATAAGCTCTGCTAAATAACCACGACAGAGCAGAAAGAAAGGAATGTATATAGCAATAGACAGCCTAAGCTGTAAAAACTGAAACCTGAATCCTAGCAGCAGATCAGATATCAAGGCTGTAAGGTAGAGGGAGATGAAGAGATGAAGGGGAGGGAGAGAGGAGAGGAGAGGGCTGAAGGAATGGAAAAGTCAGCTTGGAAAGTGAAGGACTAGTAGGAGGGCCCCCTCGGGAAATTTGGCTCAGGGATTAGGGAATTCTATCACGGTATACAGTGACCTACTCAAGTTTCAACCCATGTTGGATTGAATTGCTTCCATTTGCTAGGAGTAAGAAAAAAAGACCAGCGTGTATATGATTCCCTCTCTCCACCCTCCTTCCAGTAATAAAAAGCCACTGAGTACAAGTGTCTATTTTAAGTACAGCAAATACAAGGCACTATGAATGAGTAATAAAATTACCTCATCTCGCAGATTTTCTTGAAGATTTGCTCTTTGACAGAGCCACATATTTGCTTAATAATGATGGAAAGAAATTCAACCACTCTCTGTCACATCAGTAATACCAATTGCTGCTCTGTTTTAATAAGGTTGAAAACTGATGTTGTTTGCTGTATCATAATGGTAGATATTAGGTTACATGTTTGTTATCTCTGGCCTGATGTACATGACAGTTGTGAGAAACTTCAGTTTGATATAAAACTACATTATTACTTGGTTTCTCTTTCTTCACTGTAAATTTCACTAAAGAATTCTGACAGAATATTTTGTTTCACTCTGACCATCAGTATAATTCTAATTCTTTCCTTTTATTTGCCTTCCATAGTCTTAGAATTTATTAATATTATTGTGTTGTATGGTAAATTATAAATGGGGGAAAATTATAAGTCCACCCTCTACCAAATTTACATCCACCAAAATTTCATTCAGCAACTCTTGGAATTTGCAGCCAAAGACTGGGCATTTTAGGGATAGGGAGTGCAAAACACCAGTTTATAGGATTACTAAGAATGTAACAAACTAAATATCAAATAAAACAATTCACTTAACAGTGTGAATAGGCAGATTTTTAAAAACCACAGAGAAATATAGTATATTCCATTCATAAATCCTCATCTACTTCAGAGTAGTACTATGAACATTTAAAATGGTTGTTTTATACTAAATGAATTATGGTGACATGGAAACTTATTAAATAATGTTATAAATGACAAAAAGATAAGAATCATGATTCAAAAACCTTACAATTTAAAGTTCACTTGAATTGAATGATCTGATTATATGTAAATGCTAGCACTGAAAATTTTGCATTCATCTGCACCTTTGGTTTTTTTTAAAAAAAAATAGTCTTGAGATGAATGACAAATCTGTTGTATGATATTCAGAACTTATTTTATGCACCTAAGTTGATTATTTTTTTCAGATTCTAAGTAAGTAATTTAAGTAAAATAGATGTCATTCTAGATTATTTCATCTGTTGTCATTAAGTGGCAAATTATTGAAATATTCTTCTAACAACTGAAAAACTTAAAACTGGCTATTCATTTGAAAAAGACAAAAGAAATAGGTAGAATCCAAATTTAATCATGCTTCAAGTAGATTCTGTTAAACTGATGGATTGCTTAGTCATATCTTTCACTACACAAGACATTTGGAGATTTAAAAGTTACTTTGGAGAATAATTAAATAGAAAAGAAACATGTGTAAGTGTTTTCAGGTCCCCTGATAAACTGCTATGAGACATCATATAAGAAACTATAAATCTTGACAAGGAATATTCACAATAGTTTGAGAATCCTTATCTAGAATATGTAAGAATCCACAAGATAATTACAATAACGTTGGAAATTGATCTATACAGGCTAGTGTGCATTTATTTGTCATACTGGCACCCATTTGTAATATCAAAAAAGATTTAATAGAAGTATATCACATGACAGGCATATATTTTTCATTTATTATATGGCTCCAGATTCATCTTACATGTTTCAATCAATATGGCAAGGAAGGAAACAGAAAAAAAGGAAAAGGTTGCTTCTACTTAAAAAATTAAAAATAATCAGTAGCATTCTGTTTTAAAAAAATAAGAGATTCAATTTCCTTTGCATTTCTATCCACATTTGTATGGTATCATTCCCTCATTTTCTGACAGAGAAAAAGCTGTATATAAAAATGTGGTGAAAAATTACATTTCAGAAATAGAACCAATTATCTTTTATGCAACATAAAGAGTTATGTTATCTGTATAATGATGCTACAATGAAATGAATTTTAAATGAGCATGTATGAAAATGAAAATAATTTTCATTACTTTTTAGAGGCTTAGTCTCATCAGACTACTTTCCACTTTCAGATATGAGAAAAATGTACATGAATAGTCTTTAACTTCCCAAAACAGTATTTTTATGTACTAAAATTCAATAAAATATACAATTAAATCATGCAAATTAAAATTATTGTAAAATGTGGTTTGGGCTGTATATGTGGAAATGAGCACTATGTACTTTTATTTATTTGCTAATACAAATTGAATAAAATGTG